GGGAATTTTAAATGGCTGCAATCCTTGTTCTGGGGTCTAATAGAGCACTCTGTGGTCTAGGTGGGATCCTTGACCAGCTAACACATGTTAAAATACAGCTTGCTCTGTCTTTACTAGGGATTAAAAACATTAGTTAAAACATGGTAGCAACCACCTTTTGTCCTAGTCTAGACACACCCTCTGGTGTAACTAAGGCCATGTCTACATGGCAGAGTGTTTTGTGTATAACCTAAAGGGTTAATTTAAATCAGTCTAGTTATACCAATATAACCCTGGTGTGGACACTCTTATTCCAGGGGGTTTAAACTAACCTAAAAATCCCCAACCTTATACTAGAATAAGAACGTCCACATGGGGACTTAGACAAGTATAACTAGATCGGTATAACTGCTAAAACTTCCCCATGCAGACAAAACCATGCACTATTGTGGTAAGCTAAAGGCAGTTGTGGCATTGTAGTTAGTTGATTGCCACTAGGAGGCAGCACAGAGAGCACCAGCTATAGAGAAGCTGGCTCTCTGGATACCCTACAATCAGATTTTCTGTCTCTCCCTGAATAGCTTTTGTATAGGCCACACACATGGATCTGGCACAAAGATGAACATAAGAAAATGGGGTGGGGGTGGTGGGGAATGGGAGCATCAAATCCAGCCAGACCATAAGGAGAAAAGTCATTTTCTCCTAAACACACATACATCTGGTTATGAGATCTGCTATGTACACATTCAGAGTGATAGATCCAGTGGCCTCCGGTGGGCGGAAGAGACCCAGTTGGGAGTGTTGATGTTTGAGAGAGAGCCATGCATGGCTCCCTGGGGCTGGGGTTCAGTCATTTCCCTGCACTGACAGCACCAAGCTTTCCATAAGGGAGGCCCCTCTCCCAGGAGACTGTTAAGGAGGGTCCATAGCCCCAGGGCCACGGCCAACATCTGCTGGTGGAGTCCAAAGTGGACCTGAGGGATATATAACCTCCTGAGGTTCCTTCCAACCCTGATATTCTATGATTCTATGATAGACGCTCCTGAGTATGGAGCGAGGGGATGATTCGGTGGGGCAGTGCTGGGTCAGGGTTCTTTGATATATTTATTAATGACTCTGAGGAGATGGAGGAGAGCGAGATGGTAATGTTTGCGGGTGACCCTGGGCTCTAACTAAAACAAACCATAAAGAACTGGGAGAAACTCCAGCTGAGCTGAGCATGGTGGAGATGGCACAGGGTGATGGCAGGAAAAATCCAGGCTGGCTGTGTCCAGTTGTGCACTTTGGCAAATATAGCCTGAGCTCTGGTGCTGCGGGGCATGCTGCTCCAGGGATCCTCTGAGGAAAAGCTTGGGAGGTATTGGGGGCATGAGGCATTGGTCTGGCACACAGCAGCAGCAGCTAAACAAGCAAAGAGGCTGTTTGGAGATATTCAAAATGGGAGAGAGAGGAATATGTTCTAATGACATTGTATCAAACGGCAGGGCCACCATTGGGAGCTCTGTGCCCAGGCTTGGGCACCTTGCAACAAGAAAGATCTAGTGGGGAGTAAGGGGTTCTGTGAAGGACAGTGGAAATGGTTTGAGGCCTGTGTGGTACTCTCTTGCAGCAGAGGGTGGAGAGCCCAGGGCTCTTCCCCTTGGAAGGGGCATTAGAAAAGTATCGCAGGTGATGAAGAGCAGAGGGAGAGCTGGTCAGTGCCCCCTTCTGTCCCCTGCCTGCTAATGTGAGAACACTCGGCCTCTCTAGCACATCAGTGGCAGCTCCATTTAGATTCACTGAAGGGAACCGCTTCTCCATACAGCCAGTGTGGGTCAGGCTGGGGGCTTCTCTGTCAGAAGGGAGCGTCACCACACTACCCCCAGTGGTCATTTTGATGAGCAATAATAAAATGTGTAGCTTTGTGTGCTCAAGAAGGGAATGGAGTCTCCCGTGCCTGGGCTGGAGCGGTCTGCTGCTGGGGTCACGGAGGGTCGTTCCCCTCCTGTGCACAGCTCTGCACAATTAACCAGTGGCATTGTTGCTGGCGTTTACCTTCCTCTGACGTGCTGGCTATTGCCACTGGAGGGCAGCGGGATGCAGATTGCGTGGGCTGATGGTGGACCTCTGTGTGCCCAAGCTGCTGTAATACAGTACCAGGAAGCTCGTGGTGGGATTAATCCTGGGCTGGCTGCTGCATGCTGGGGCCCTGGGCATGAAGTCAGAGCTCGCCAATATAATCATTTGGGGTTGATCACAATGGGGACTGGCCCCCAAATGCCCCATGGCGCTTTGCCATAGCTTCTGAGAGCAGATGGGCTAAGGGGTTGTCTTGTCAGGAACTTGGACCCCAGGAAACCCCCTCTCCAAAAGCTCTCTGTCCCAAGTACTCTAAGAGCTTCCAGAACCATGTGGTGCCTCGTTCACCTTTCTATGGGGCCCCTTGCAGAGTTCAGACCCGCAGAGCAGTGCTGTGACACGGGAGCGTGAGCTCCAGAAGGAGTGCTGCTTGCCATGGGAGCCGGCTGCGGGGCGTGGGGGGATGTGTGTACTGGGGAATGACAGCCGCAGGGGCAATGCTGTCGCTGCAGGGAGCAGGTGGAGGGGGGACACAGACAGGGGTGGGGCTGTTACTGCATTAGAGCACTTGAGGCAGGGAGTGTGCCTGGCTTTGGATTAGTCTTATTCATAGAATCATAGAATCATAGACTATCAGGGTTGGAAGGAACCTCAGGAGGTCATCTAGTCCAACCCCCTGCTCAAAGCAGGACCAATCCCCAATTTTTGCCCCAGATCCCTAAATGGCCCCCTCAAAGATGTGGGGAGTGAGGGGCTGATAAAGGGGGAGCCCATAAGCCAGGGAATGCAGTTGCAGGGCAACGTGGGCTGAGTGGCTCTGTCCAGGGCAGGGACTGAGACAGCACCAGTCACCTGGAATCCAGGCGAGGAGTGGGCCGAGCAGCACAGCCGGGGTAGAAGGAACCAGGGTAGAGGAGTTCAGGCCTGCAGCACCTCAGCTCACCTGGAGGGGTGGGGCAGGAACCCCCCAGGGCCATAGTTTCTGGTCAAAGAGGCTAGAATAGTTTTGCCAGCACCAGAAACCACTGCACTGGGGGATGTTGGCCAGGGCCAAGGCGCCAGGGAGAGAGGGGGCCAGATCCTGATCTCATTCACACGACTGTAGACATAGGGTAACTGCTGGGACAGCAGTGGAGTTAATCCACTTTGCACTGGTGCGAGTGAGGCTGCGGCATAGCGCAGGACATGCTGTTTGTCATGGCTGGAGTAGCTTTTGGGCCATGCTGAACGCAAGGGGTCAAACTCAGCTCTTGAGCGCTTTGCTGTCTGGACCATTACTGTACACTGCCTGCAGGAAGTACCCTGAGACAGTTACACTGGCACAACTGAGAGCCAGTTTGGTCACTGATTTGCATCTCAGTTACACCACTGCCTTCAGCGGAGCCACTCCTGATTGACACAGATGTGAGTGGAGGCGAGTCAGGCCCTACAGCCATGTGAAGTCCTAGTCAGCACTGGAGATGCAGGGTGCACCTGTGCATGGGACCACTGCCCCACTTGTGCATGCTCCACTGGGACTAATATCTCTACACCTAATAAAACAACAGGGTGGGGGACAAGCCTGGATTCGGGAGGGATGAGCCAGGAATTAGCCACCCCCTCAATTCACCTGTGTTTTATCTGACTCTTACTATCAGGTTTTTGCCCCTCTGCTGGGGAAGGCTGGCAAAGCTTGGGGGTGCTAAAAGCACATAATAAGAAGCAAATTGCTCCATTTGAACCTCTCCCTTTCCCAGCCAGGGGCTGACAATGTGCCCACTGCAGGAGACTTTGTGGCTGAGTGGCAGGAGATCACCCACAGAGGAACCATCACTTGACTTAGAGAGGAGCCTGGATTGCTGTGCCAGGGCCGTGCCCAGTCCTGCCAGCTTGAATGCACCACTGGGTAACGCAAAACCCGACAGCTGTTTCATACGTTCTCTGTAACCAGCCTGACAGTTTAACACCCGGCTGGCTGGGGCCTGGGTCAGGCACAGGTAACCCTTCGCCAGACACAGCCCGGGGCAGGCGCAGGTAATCCCCGGCCGGGCACAGCCCGGGGCGGGCGCAGGTAACCCCCGGCCGGGCACAGCCCGGGGCGGGCGCAGGTAACCCCCGGCCGGGCACAGGTAACCCCTGGCCGGGCACAGCCCGGGGCGGGCGCAGGTAATCCCCGGCCGGGCACAGCCCGGGGCGGGCGCAGGTAACCCCCGGCCGGGCACAGCCTGAGGTGGGTGCAGGTAACCCCCCGGGCCACCCGGGCGGGCAGTAACCCCGGCGGGCCAGCCCGGGCGGGCGCAGGTAACCCCCGGCCAGGCACAGCCTGAGGTGGGTGCAGGTAACCCCCGGCCGGGCACAGGTAACCCCTGGCCGGGCACAGCCCGGGGCGGGCGCAGGTAATCCCCGGCCGGGCACAGCCTGAGGTGGGTGCAGGTAACCCCCGGCCGGGCACAGCCCGGGGCGGGCGCAGGTAACCCCCCCTCCGGGCACAGCTGGCGATCCCGGGGCGGGCGCAGGTAACCCCCCCTCCGGGCACAGCTGGCGATCCCGGGGCGGGCGCAGGTAACCCCCCCGCTGGGCACAGCCCGGGGCGGGCGCAGGTAACCCCCCGGCGGGGCCCAGCTGGCGAGCCTGGGGCGCTGCTCCCCTGGCCCGGCAGGTGACGGGCGACCCCGCCCCGCCGGCCGCGGCTGACTGACAGCGGCGGGAGATACCACTGGCGGCGGGGGGGCGCCGGCCCCGCTCGCCCGCCGGGCCGCCCCGCGCCGCCCCCCGGCTCCCGCCCTCCGCAGGCTGCGCCGCCCGCCCGGCCCGGCCGGCGCGGCGGGACGCGGGGGCGGGGCGGCGGCGAGCGCTCCCCCGCGCGGCGCGGGCGGTGGGTCGCTCCAGCCTGGCGGAGCGGGGCCGGCTCCGCGCGCCCCATGGCTCACTCGGCGGCGAGCGCGCGGCGCGTGTGTCTGCCTGCGCGGGGCCGGGCTGGCCGCATGGAGCCGCGGCCGCTGCCCCGCTAGCCCCGGCCGCCGCCCCGCGCCCGCCCGCGCCCGCCATGGCGCTGCTGGCCGGCTGCTGCCTCCTGCTGCTGCTGCTGCCGCCGCTCGCCGCCGTGGAGGGTAAGTGCGGCTCCGGAGCTCGTGTGCGGGGGCCGCCCGGCCGGCACAGGCGAAGGCATGGCGGGGAGCCGCCGCCTTTCCCGGGGGCAGGGGCCGTCGCTTCCCCGGGCCGGCGCCGCACCCCTCCTTCCCCCCTCGGCACGGGAACGGGTCCCCGGGAAGCGCTGCCGCGAGCAACCGGCCGGGGCCCCCGGAGCCTGGGGGACATGCAAAGTTTGCAGCCTAACGGTGGAAGTGCGGGGGGAGGGGATGGGGGGCCAGGACCCCGCATCCCGCTGGCCAATGCGGGGACGCTGTCCGGGGGCTCCGGGCTGCAGCTGTCGGGCTTGGCTGGTGGCGCCTGGACCTTCCCAAACATGGCGTGGAGACAGAGTGGGCGTGTGGGGCACACAGGTCCCCCTCTCCCCATGCCGTCTGCAGCGGCTTCTGGCATGTGCCTTGGGTGGCATTGCCAGCCTGATGCCTGTGCTGTGCCCTCTGCTGGCACCACCGATAGCTGCCCCTGGCTTGGTGGGCAGCCCCAGCATGGCAGCTGTGCACTCTGAGAGATGCTTAGGGTTCCCGGTCCTGGCGCCGCACAGGCTCCCCACCTCAGCCTGGCGCTGGCGGGCGGGAGAGGGTTTGGCATGTGCCTGTAGTGGGCCCTGGCACCTTCCTGGCTTCCGGAGCCTGACATTAGCCCTTGGCATGGGCTTTCGGGAGCCCTGTGTTCCCTGGAGATGACATGTTCCTGGCTGTGTTCTCCCCAGGCCGTGCAGGCTGGATGCCAGGTAGGGAGCCTGTGGAATGTGGGTGCGTTTGGAACATGCTGCCCGACAGGGGGAGACTCATTGCGGCGGCACTGTCTGGGCACAGGATGCGGTGGGATTCATCCTTCTCGCATGCCTGTCCATCCGTGCCCTCACACCGCCCTCTGTGCTGGGAGAGAGCTGGCCCTGTCGCCCAGGGAAGCACCAACTGCATGGAGCCCTGGGCTCCGCTCTCTGGGGCCGAGAGGAGCGCGCTGTCTCCGGCTGGACTCTGGCTTGGTGAGAGCTTTGAGGGCAGCGAATGGAACGTGCCTTCAAGGCAAGGGGTGACTGGATCCCTTGCTGGGTGGATGGATGGTTTTGTGTGGACGCCACTGGGTTTGGATGTCAAGACAAATGCCCGGAAGGGGCCCACGGCTCTGCGTTGGTGTGGGCTAGGGATGAGGCACTGTTGATTAAGTCGGAGTTTTGGGGAATGACTCATGGGTTGGCCAGCTATACGTAGTGATATTTACAATATGCGCGCTTGGCACAAACAGGACTATTTACGTTGCAGTGGAGAGCACTAGCCAGCAGTGCTGTTCAGAGGAGCCTGGCATGTTTTTAATTATAGGGAGATGAGTGTGTCTGTAGGAACATCCGTGTCCAGGGCGGGTGGCTGGCCTGATCAAATGGCAGTATTGATGGTTGACAGCGGCATTCCTGCAAAGCCAGCCAGACCCGACACTGCTGACTACAGCAGGAGTGGCTGCTGCGTAGGCGACTAGAGCCATGGGAGGGGAGGGGGCTGGGGCTGTGCACAGGAGCTGGCTGACACTTCCGCCCCCACCCTCCTAGTGCCACCTCTCTGTGGCAGAGGAGAGCCCCATGCAGCCCACTGGACAGCGCTAGGGATCAGTAGCCCCATGTACTGTGGCGCTGCCTGGCCATAGGGCTCCTTCTCCATTTTCTAGAAGGAGTCAGAAACGCCAGATAACATGGGCGGCTTCCCGGTGCCATGGCAGCGTCTGGCTGGGCGCGGAGTCAAGAACGTGCTGGGCTTGGGGGGCTTTTCTCCTCTGTTAACTGGATTGCCCGGCAATGCAGAACCCAGGCTGTCGGCTTTGGGGTCTGACTGGCCTCACATTAACATTTCCCCCACACACGCTCCCCTGGGCGCTCCACTGTGTGTGTGTCCTGGTCAGGGGCTCTCAGCAGATGTTGCCCCACCAGGAAGGCGGATCTGTTCTTTGGCCAGTCGCATTGGTCCAGGCGTTTCCCCAGCTGTGCGTTAGTGTCACTCTCTGCCTGTCCAGTGGCCCGTCGGCACCCACCCTCAAGCCCTTGCACCTGAGCGAGGAGCCTGCGTCTTTCCATTTTTGCAGTGAAAGGCCCCCAGCCCTCCCCAAGGGGGCTTTGCTCACGTGGGTTTGAAATAGGGAAACAAGCAGCTTTTTTGGGAAAGATGATCCTGGGCCTGGCTTGAAGTCATTGGGCTGGGCCTAGTCTCAGGCTCCTCTCCAAGACCCTGCCAGCACCGGCCTGGAGCATGGAAATGAAACCAGAGCTGGGGCTGAGTCTTCTGCTCCTGCCGCTCGCTCCTTTACCATTTACTGTAGCAAGAGCCTTGTTCTCTCCACCTGAAGGCGTGTCTGGTGCTCCTGTGGGCTGTGGCACCTCACAGGTCAGCAGCTCCCATCCTTGCTTTGCAAAGCTCCAGTCAGCAAATGCAGTGCTCCTTACTGGCCAGCCCCCAGACTGCCAGATTGGGGGGGGAGAGGCGGGAGTGCTGCCAGTTTAAAAAGTCATTAACATTATGGAGAGCCATTGGTGGGGGTGTACTGGGTGTGGAGCGGGAGGAGGAGGGCCGTAGGGGGAAGGGCGTGCACAGGGAAGTCCTGCTCTACTCAGGCCTGTTGGGCACTGGAAAGAAAAGAGGGGAGAGGGGGAAGGGGAGGAGAGAGGGGAGCAAGGGGAGGGAGTCACAAACCAGCTGGACATTAGAGCCTGAAACACAGTTGCCAGAGTCAAAATGGGACAAATGCAAACTGGGGTCAGTGCGTTTCCCACTGGACTCTCTGGGCCTCATGCTGGGTGTGAGTGACTCACACAGTAGGTGTGAGTGTGCACTGGTGCTATGTAAGCTGCATCTCTTGGGCATTCAGTGGAGTGGGGAAGTGGAGAGAGTGGAAATGTGCCGCAGGAAGAGGGGGCTCTCAGATGGGTAGCTCATAGGCTACACTCTCCAGAGGCCTAGCTGCTTTCCATGCTGCTAGCCCCTTGCCCCCCCCCGCCTCCCCGGATGGGTCAGCTTCACTCATGTGCTCGCCACCTTAATGCCAGGTTGGTGTAAGTCACTCATATTATGTCATATTATGCCCTTGAGCTGCCCCCCTCCCTGATGGATAATGTCCATTGCCTGCCAGGGCGGTCCTGGGCATGGCCCATGGTCCCACACTACTTCTGTGTGATGCCTAAAATTGTAGGATTGAAACGGACTTTGGGAGATCATCTAGTCCAGTCCCTTGCACTCATGGCAGGACTAAGTCTAGATCAGGGGGGACCCAGCATCATGTTCATGCAAGCAACCCCCAGCTCAGGCTGGCTCTGTCTCTCTGATAGCAAAGCCTAGCCCAGAACTACCGCCCCCAAGCTGAATGCCGGCTCCGCTGTCTTGGGGTGATGTGGTGCTCTCCTCCCTCCTTGAGTCACTCTTCTCCAAGGTGGTAAGCCTGGCATGCTGATTGGTCCTGCAGCTACCATGTCAGGCTGTGGCTCTGCCTTGGCCAGTGTAGGAAGAAGCTCAGACATTTATGCTTCAGTGCCTATGTCTAATCCATTCTAGCCTCCCTTGCCTTGTGCGAGCTGGGCTATTGGTAGGTCCCCCTGGTACTTGCCTCCGCTCTAGCAGGTTGGCTAAGCATGTGTGCCAGATCTACTGACACAGCAAATCAGTGTTAAGAGTCCTTCCTTACATTGGAGGCTCGGCAGGCGTCTCACTCCACCATATGTCTGAGTGACACCTCCTCAGCCCCTGCTCCCTGAATGTTCCCCCGCTGCCTTCGCAGCTGCAATGGACTCCTGGCTGTTTTTCCTTTTTCTCCAACAGGCAGGGCAAGACCTTTGGCTTATTTATGGGAGACAGTGTTGTCTAGTTGTTAGATTGGGGATCATCTTCTCGGAGACAAGACTCCTGGGTTCTATTCCCAGCTCTGTGATGTTGGGGAGGTCACTTGTCCCCTCTGTCTCTCAGTTTTCCCCATCTTTAAATGAGTGAAATAATACAGACTCCCATCCTGGGAGGCTTCACTAATTGATGTTGTAAGGTGCTTTGAGATCCTTTGTTGAAAGTAAAGAGAATGCTGTACCGACCAGTAATAGATATGTACGTATCCGTATTTACACACACTTGGGCTAATTCCCCAAAGCTACACATAATTATGAGCAGAATCACTGGGAAGAAAAACTTAAACTGGGAAGTGTGTATGGGAATTAGGAGTTGTTTAAGAACATTTCACTAGGTGCTCCAAAAGTCTCAGTATCTCAGCTGTAAAAAAAGGCTGTTTTTTAAATCTTAAAGGAAATGTGCAAAGAACAATAAAATATAAATCAGTGTGGAAAAAGGGGAGGTGAGTGGCAGTGAATATAAAACAGAAGCTGAGAGGGTGCAGGCGGCTGATAAGAGAAGCAAAAGGGATCCTCCCCATATCTGTGTCAGAGAGTTAAGGGTAATAAGGAGGTGTGTTCAAAATGTACCTGGAACAAAAGGAATCCTAAAAATAGTGTTGTCAGTAATGGTGCAGAAAAGGCAGAAGGGTTCAATAAATATTTGTCCTCTATTATGAATCAAGTTGGATGATCTATCCATTGTGTACAATGATGTAAAAATACTTCTCCAAGGGTAACGAAAAGGACGTTCAGTAGCAGCATCTACTCAAGTTACACCTTTTAAAATCAGCAGGGCCAGAAAGCTTGAACCTGAGAGGTTTAAAAGAGTTGGCCAAGGAGCTCTTCATACCTTTGATTTTTACTTTTATTAAAACTTGCAGTGCTCGAGAGGTTTTAGAGGGCTAGAAGAAATGCAGTATTGTTCGAACAAAATGTTAACGAATAAATGGGATAACCTGGGTAACGACAGGATACTATTAGCCTGACCTCGATGCTGGGAAAAACAGTGGAACAGCTAACACCAGAATTCCACCACTAACAAGCCAACAGATGGAAATATAATTAATACTGGTGCACGTAGTTTCATGGAAAATAGGTCTTGTC